TTTTTCCCATTGTATATTCTTGCCTTTTTCGTCAAAAATTAATAGACTATCGGTGTGTACCGTCCATACCAACACATACACTCACACACAGGCACCTCAGTGTAACTAAACTCACCGTGTGTATCAGCACACACACACAGCAACACGCACTCACACATGGCTCACTGTGAATCAGTGAACCGCCTATACCATCACACACACACACACACACACACACACACACACCCCTAAGTGTGACTCAATGCTCAGTGTATACCGGCACACACAAACACACACAGAATACTGTGACTCATGCAGACATTGAACCAAATATACACACACACACACACACGCACAGCTCATTGTGACTCAATGCACAGTCCATACCAGCACACACACACACACACACACACACAGCACACCTCACTGTAACTCAATGCTCAGACCTGTATCAGCCCCCCCCAGAACATACGGCATAGTCTGACTCAATGGTCAGTCTATACCAACACACACACAAGCACACACGCACACACCAGTGACTCAATGCAAATCCAATACCAGCACACACACGCAGACACATCTAAATGTGACTCCATGCTCAGCCTGTACAAGCACACACACACACATTGTGACTCATGCAGACCCTATACCACCAAATACACACACAGAAACACACACACACACGGCTCCCTGTGACTCAATGTACAGCATATACCAGCGAAAACACACAAAGACTCAAATGCACGGGCTCACTGTTACTGAATGTACAGCCTATATCAGCAGACACAGACACAGAAAGACACACACACAAGGCTCACTGTGAGTCAGTGGACAGTGTGTAGCACCACACACACAGACCTCAGTTACTTAGTGCAAAGCCCTTACCAGCACACACACACACACACGTGGCTGACTGTGACTCAGTGCACAGCATATTCCAGGCCACACACACACACACACACACACACACACGTGGCTGTGACTCAGTGCACAGCATATGCCAGGCCACACACACACACACACACTAACATACACGGCTCACTGTGACTCAATGCCCAGCCTATGCCAGCCCACACACCCAAACACACACAGGCAGACACACGGCGCAGTGTGACTCAATGCACAGCCTACACTGGAAACAACACACAGACATGGCTCACTGTCAATCAATGAACTGCCTATACCATCACACACACACACATACACACCTACGTGTGACTCAATGCTCAGCGTATACCGCACACACAAACACACACAAGTTAGTGTGACTCACGTAGACACTAAGCCAAATACACACACAAACACACACACACAGCTCATTGTGACTCAATGTAGAGTCCATACCAGCACACACACACACCCCATACCTCACTGTAACTCAATGCTCAGACGATATCAGCGCCGCCCCCCACACGCATACACACCGCGCAGTCTGACTCAATGCTCAGCCAATCCCAGCACACACACAAGCACACACACACCCACCATTGACTCAATGCAAAGCCCATACCAGCGCACACACACACACACCCCAGTGACTCGTAAAACCTATACCAACACACAAAAACACATCCACGCAGCTAACTGTGACTAAATGCTCAGCCTATACACACACACACACACACACACACACACGACTGTGATTCATTGTACAGCCTGCACCAGGACAAAAACACGGCTCACTGTGACTCAATGCCTAGCCTGTAGCAACACACACACACACACACACACACACACACGGCTCACTGTGACTCAATGTACAGTTTTTACCAGCACACACACACACACACACACACCTTGCTGTAACTCAGTGCACAGTCTATACCAGCACATACATACACAAAGACACACACATGCACGGCTCACTGTTACTCAGTGCACCGTCCATACCAACACATACAGACACACACACTGGCACATCAGTGTAACTAAATTCACAGTTTATACAAGCACACACACAAAAACACGCACTCACACATGGCTCACTGTCAGTCAATGAACTGCCTATACCGTCACACACACACACACACATACACACCTACGTGTGACTCAATGCTCAGCGTATACCTGCACACAACACAACTTAGTGTGACTCACGTAGACACTAAGCCAAATACACACACGCACACGCACAGCTCATTGTGACTCAATGTACAGTCCATACCAGTGTGTGCAGACACGCACACACACACAACACACCTCACTAACTCAGTGCTGAGCCCCCTACACACACACACACACACGCACACACAGCTCTCTGATTCATTGCACAGCCTGTACCAGCACACACACACACACACATACAGACACACACGGCTGTGAATCTATGCTTAATATGTAGCAGCATACACACACACAAACACGCACTCACACATCTCACTGTGAATCAGTGAACCGCCTATACCATCACACACAGAGACACGCACATACACGTCTCACTGTGACTAAATGCACAGCGTATACTAACCCGTACGCCCACACACACACAGGCAAACGGCTCACTGTGACTCAATGCTCAGCCTATACCAGCACACACATACACACACACACACACACACACCCCTCTGTTCTATTGTTTTAATGGGAAATGCAGAAAACACACACTCAGGATGCCTGGGCTTTCAGGGTACAGCCACAGGGCAGTACAGCTGACAGGTTAATGATGTAGTCAGTGTCTCCTGCGTCCCTGTGCCTGAGACTGGCTCAGCGTGTGCAGTGCAGCTGGCCCTGAAGAAGCAAAACGTTGAGCATCTCCTTCCATGGGTCGTGGAGTGCGGCACAAGGGTCACTGGCTCCCGGAAGCACCATCCCAGCAGCAGCCTAAGGTGCGTTTCCATTGCCCCCTGTGTGATGAATTCCTCGACCATATCAGAACTCACATAAGACAAGCAGAGTATCCTGGTAGAAGGCAACATAAAATGTAGGAGGCATTTGTGCACTTTTTAAAAATCTGTGATTTGGGTCAATTTTTTTCTTGTTCTAAACACAAATTCACTCTCCTAATTTTGAGTAATGCTTGTTAAGAAAAATCCCTCGCTCTTGGGGCTTCCCTGGTGGTGCAGTGGTTAAGGATCCGCCTGCCGATGTAGGGCTCACGGGTTGATCCCTGGTCCGGGAAGATCCCACATGCCACGGAGCAACTAAGCCCGTGAGCCACAATACTGAGCCTGCGCTCTAGAGTCTGCGAGCTACGACTACTGAAGCCTGCGCACCTAGAGCCCGTGCTCCACAATAAGAGAAGCCACTGCAATGAGAAGCCTGTGCACCACAATGAAGAGTAGCCCCCCTCGCCAGAAGCAGAGAAAGCCCGTGCACAGCAACGAAGATCCAACACAGCCCAAAATGAATGAATTAATTAAAAAAAAAAAAGAATCCACCTGCCAAAGCAGGGGACACGCGTTCAAGCTGTGGTCTGGGAAGATCCCACATGCCGCGGAGCAACTAAGCCCATGTGCCACAATTACTGAGCCTGCACTGTAGAGCCTGCGAGCCACACCTACTGAGCCCGCATGCCGCAAGTACTGAAACCCACACACCTAGAGCCCGCAACAAAAGTAGCCAGTGCAATGAGAAGCCCGTGCACCACAACGAAGAGTAGCCCCTGCTCGCCACAACTAGAGAAAGCCCAGTGCAGCCAAAAATAAATAAATTTGTTAAAAACAAAAGAATCCCTCCCTCTCAATTGGCTAACCTTCGGGTCCCACCAACCTGCTGCACAGCAGAAGCGTTTCTAATCAGCCAACCAGGAGCAACTGCCGTGTGCTGGGTGGTTCCGACAGATGCGTTTGGATGCAGGGAAGGCACTTCCTCCAGATCTAGAATACAGTGATGGCAGCAGAAGTGTGGGCGCTTCCACTGGCACCCCTCTGATCCAGGCACTGGTCCTGAGCACATTACCACATCAGCTCAGTTGCTCTCACAACAGCTCTCCTCCAACTACAGAGGAGGAAGCTGAGGCTGGAGAGGCTGGCGCTTGCTCACAGCCATCCGCCCGAAGTGACAGAGCTGGCTTTGCTCCAGGAACTTGGCTTCGGGTTCTGGACGATTTCGTGCTCTTTGGTATCGGGCCCTGGTGTGGGAGGTGTGGTCCATCAACGGCCCCAACTCCTCACAGCTCCCTGTAGCCACACTCTGCCACGGGACTTACGGTTCCTTCCACTGAAGGGGTAGAGCACATGCCGCACCCTCTGACTGGGTTTGGCTGCAGCCCTTGCTTTGGCAATGGAAGGTTAGCAGGTGCACTCTAACCAGAGACAGGAGAAGCACCGCTGGGACTGGGCTTGTTCTCTTATGCATCTGCCACTGACCTGCCCAGGCCAAACTCCTGGTGCCAGGAGGAACACGACAGGCACGTGGAGCAGAGCCTGATCTCCAATTTCATGAGCTAACGGAATACGTCTCACTGGACCCTGCTGCGATTTTACAGTGCTTGTTACACAGCACTGCTGTGGCAGGCACTGACTTATACAACCTGTGTCTGTGACATTTTCCTGACTGCAAATTGACTGCCCTTTACTAGACTGGCAGAAATAGTCACATACATACATACATAGAATTAATCCCACCATTTATCAATGGTTGAAGAATCTAATATACGGTAAGGATATTGCAATTCTTAAAAAAAAAAAAGATGTAAATCAAAGACATGCTCGGTTCACGGAAGGACACCATTTATTTTGTGAACGTCAAGCAGAATGATCTGTTGAGACGTAAGTGAAAGTATTGAGCGTGAAATCTGTACGCATCTTCCAAAGGCGCAACGCCCCTGACTGGAATCTCACTATACAGAGCATTCCACAGCTGAGCTATGACCAAGGGTGAGCTATCAGCCACCACCGAAGAATGCCAAGGGCAAAACATTAGCACCAGATTGTCTTTATATGCAGTAACATAACTATATACAAAGTTATGTACATTGACTCACTGCAATCTGTGGGTCCCCACTAACCAGACATTGAAGAGGCAAACGGGAACGTTGTGATTCTATGTGCTTCGTTAAAAGGACAGTAGAGCACTATATATTGCTATGTAGAAGAGAAAGGGCTCAAAAGACACCAAAAAGCTGGATACAGACACAAATTCTATTTTCACATTTTACAGACATATCATCAAAATGATCACAATACTGTATTTGAAGGGAAAGAATCACAGGTAAAAGCTTTGTGACAGTTAACAACACTGAAATCACCGTGGTTGTCTCCCCGAAGGAGGAAGCAGGGGCAGTGTGTGTGGGGGGGTGTCCATGGACAGCCAGCTTTACCTTTCCTGACGTGATCAGTTTTCACAGCAAGTGACCCACACCACGTGGCAAGGACACTTCGTTGGCAGAAGAGGGATTTTTCAAGTCAGGAATAGCTTAATTGAATAGGAGTAAAAACTTGAAAAGGCATTTCTCTTTGGCGTCGGTGGGCTGCCAAAGGAGTGTTTAATGCCAGCATCACGGACGCCTGCCAGGTCGGCCCCTCTACGGGTGCACGGAGATCACTGCGGCAGCCCGGGAGTCCAGTCTCCCCTCTGGCTGGCGAAGTATGGCCTCGTTAGTGTCCTTTAAGACATTTGCGTGCGTCTGTGTTTGGTAAGGCAGCAGCCACTGCTGACAGAGGGACATCTCCCCCCGCCGCTGGAAAACTTCTTTTATAGGAGTAAGAGGAATAAGGAGTAAAACGATCTCACAGATCAAACCAAAGTCTGCACATGACCTCGACGTGAAGTTATCCTAGGGCTTCTCCCGCCATTAACCACACATTTCAACAGATGAGCACTGTGACGAAACTCACCACTCCACAGTGATCAGATTAAAAAGAAGTACGTGAGAACCACGCCACTGGTGGCTAAAACAGCGATTCACGTGCTTACTCGCCATGCATATATCCTCTTTGGTGAAGTGTCTGTTTCAGTCTTTTGCCCACCTTTTAATCGGGCTGTTTGTTTTCTTACTGTTAAGTTTGAGCGTTCTTATACATTCTGGATACAAACGGTTTGTCACATACATGATTTGCAAGTTATTTTCTCCTAGCCTGTGATCTGTCCAGTGGAAAATGACAGCTTGACAGTTTTCTTTAGTGAATAGACTCTTTACCATCTCACAATTTCAACCACTAAAAAAGGGTACTAGGAGCTGTACACTGTGTGGCAGGAAAAGATTGGGTCTAGGAGTTCTGTGGTCCACCGGGACCTCCGAGAAACCAGAGCAACGGTTCTTAAACGGTATGTGGCCCTTACGGCACGGTAACAAATAGAGGCAAAAAGAGAGAAATTGCCAATTGTAATTAAGGATCATACACACGCAAAATAAATGTTCTGGGGAAAGAGTAAGTTAAGAAATATCTCGTCGGCCTTAAGCAAAAAAACACCTAGCAAGCACATTTACCAGACACGCTTTTAGCCAAGTAATTTCTCTTTGCAGGAAAATACCATTTGAACCGTGACGTCAGCCGAGAAGTCCTAAAACCGTGTGTCTGCTTTGCGTGTGTTTTAAAGCGCGAACGCTATTTAAGTGGCAATTTTAGTGAGTGAACCCAACATGTACGCTCTTCTTTTCACAGTTGGTTTTTAACCACATGGAAAACCATTCACCTTTGCAGAGTGGTTACTAAAGTATCATCCTGATTTTTGCTGGGCCGCAGATCATCCTTATAGGACAGACACAACGAACGCTCAACACTTCTGGGCCAACAGGAGAAGCCGGCAGCCGCCACCTCCCGTGACCCCCCGGAGAGGTCGTGCCCCAGGCTTTGCCCGACACGTGCTCATTGCCTCCTGAGAGGAGGAAGGGGTGCAGCGTGGGGAGACGGAAGGGCAGACCCGAGCCGGCAAGGACCACGTGCGTGCACCTCGGGACCAGAGCTCAGTCCGTACTCAGGAACTCACCGTTCACCGGGCGCCACGTGGGGTTGCTTCCAGGCCAAGGGTGACGGGGAGCCACTCTGCTCAGCAGGGAACTAAGACATCAATCAATCATCCCAAACGCGCCCACGGAAATTATTGCTTTTCTAACGGCCATTTGGTTCTGGGAGGGATTCTCTCTCCAGGACCTAAGTCCAGGCTGGGGTTTTCATCTGCCTCCTGTTGCGTGCCCCGCCGGGGAGGCGTCGGGCCGCAGGCCCCTCATTTGCCTCTGTCGGGCGGAAGGCTGTCCAGCAGGCACTTGAGCTGCTCTTCGCCCAGGTGGATCTTGTCCTCCAGCTCGCGCTGCTCGATGAGGAGGGCCGATTTCATCCTCACGAAGTGCGCGTAGTCGGCCAGGCTGTCCTGGCTGAGGTAGCTGGCCAGGATGTCGGACACGATGCCCTCCCGGCGGTCCAGGTTCTCCTTCAACTCCTTGGCGTCCTCGTGCTGCTGGATCAGGACCCGCTGCTTCTCGAGCAGGGATTGCTGGAGAGACAGAGAGAGACGAGCCTGCTGGGGACCAGGCAGTGGCGGTGGTGGGGGGGGCCGGGGGGGGGAACGGTGTCCGGCAGCTCTTTTGGGGGCTGGTCCAGTGGAGACCCTGACGCCACCCGAGTTAGGGACCCGCGCAGAAGCACCTGGGGCGTGGGCAGGAGGCACCTCGCGGAGCAGAGGCCCCAGCGCCAGCTCCCCCGTTGGCGCTCTTGGGCCGCTGCCACCTCCACTTGCTCCTGTCTCCGTGAAAGGCCGTGAGGAACACGGGAGCCATCCAGGCACAAAATGCTCCAGGACCGGGAGATGCTCAGGAAGAGCAAAGGGCTGAGGCAGCCGGTGTGCGTCCAAGGCTTTCCCTGCCAATACCGTGGCCAAACGGACACAAGGCGCAGGTTCTAAAGAGATTCCAGGGCAGGACTGCTAGACCCTTCCGGCAGACGGAGCTGCAGCCCGGGAGCAAAGCTGTAGCCGAGGCCGTGAGAGGGGGCAGTGGGGCGGGGGGAGAGACCGCGCCTGTCGGGGAGGTGCCCTCTCTCCTTCCAAGGGTCCCGCCCTGGGTCACACAGACGCCCCCGTTTCCAGAACGCAGCACTCACAGTCGCTGTCTGCCCACAGGGCGTGCCCCCACTTCCCCTGCCCTCTCTAACTTTAATGAAAACTGAGGGGGGGAGAGGTGAACGCGGTAGATGTCTGCAAGTGCCGGCTGGCAGAACCCACGGACGCCCTGTCCTCGGTGCGAGTTTCTGACACCAGCAGGGCCACCTTGCAGCTTGGACATTCTACCCACGGCCACGCATGAGCATCCCGGGTGCGCGAGTGCTCTGCAGAGCGCCGATCCACGGAAAGAGCTCAGAAAAGGTGAGCTGCTATTAAACGGAGGCTGACAGCAGAAGCTGCTCCTGGGGTGAGGCTTCCGGGAAGTGCCCCCGACTGCACAACCTTTCAGGGTCACCTGTTCCGGGGGACACCTTGAGCTTCAGGTGCTTGTGAAACAAAGACAATGTATTTTCATGGCAAGAGGCAAGGTATAAGGCCAATTCATGCCAACCAAAAGGGAAACAGACCTCAACTGATGCGAGAAATGCGGTTCGGGCCACTAAGGTCAGCTGGGCTCCCTGGCAACTAGAAGCTGCTGATGGGAGGGAGGGATTCACGTGTCTGCATCTGCCCGCGTGCTCATTTTCTACCTGGGAAGACAGGGGAAGCCGCCTACAGCCTGAGGCCACATCTTTTCACTCGTTAGCGTGCCTGTCTCTGCAAACCGCAGCTTTCCCAAGCCCTGGCTGCCGGACCCGGAGATGTTCATCTGGCACCGGCCACATGGGAGGCTAGCCCACTGTGCTGCCCCTGGACGTGGTGACTGAGCACTCCTTTGGGTCCACGAAGGTGACGCTGCATCAGCCACACACAGCCACGGGGGAGAGCGCCTGTCTGCTTCTCCTCCCTCCCACGGCCCCCCTAGGGATGCAGTTAGGAGCTATGCAGCCAGGTCCCCAGGAGGACCACGGTCCCCGGTGTGTGACTGCTTCTACTTCCTCCAATTCTAAGTAAGGCTTGGTCAGTCCCAAGCAAGGGGAGATAAGGATGAGCTGAGCTGCAAAGATATTACTATTTTTCATTTAATCGATCCTTGAGAGTTTACTATTTCAATTACAAGTAAGTCTCTCTTTCCCATTCATGTTATTTCCCTAAGTTCTTTCAGATAAACTGGGCAAAGACGGCAAGAGCAGCAAAATGGAATGCGAACGTAACCCAAGGGGATCGGGGTCCAAAGCCCCAGTTACTTTTTCGACCCTTATGCAATACGTTCCGTGATTGTCACTAACGACTTGGCTAAGCACAAAAGATCACGGGCTCAAAGCCACGCGCTTTGTAAGATCTTTCTGTGTAACCTGAAACCACTCTCACCTGGAGTCCAGGGGGAGGGGTGCCTTTTCTGCTCCCCTTGTAGAGAAGTTAAGGTGCCTTATTAATGATGAAGATGATCATTTTGAAGGCCTATTATGCGGAAAGAAGCAAACTAGATGTGCTCCTGCTACCTGACCTACGAAGTAGTAAAGCCTGTAAGGTAGACGGTGTCTTGCATGTGCAAAGAGCAGACACGCAGACCCACTAAGAAATGTCCCAAGTTGCACTGCTGTGAAGGGAGGAGGAAAGCAGAGCAGCTCTTAGACTCAGTCTAGACCCTGCCGGCCCTCTTGTGAAGTCCCAGCAAGCAAGTCACCATCAAACGGCACTGTCCCTGGGGGCCGAGGACTCGGCAGGCAGTGGGGGAGCTCCACTTACCCACTTACCTGCGGTGGGGAGAGGTTACTAGGAAGAGACCGACACTAGCAGCGGTCGTGGGACTATACGAGAAGAGGTCCACTCTCCCGGACGCGCGCCGCGCCGCCTCCCCCCCCCCCCCCCCCCCCGCCCCCGCTACAAGGACGGAGCGAGCAAGCCCTGGGCGTTCAATGGCGTCTTGCGCTACGAGGCGGACAGGTGGCCGCGGCGGCTGAACCAGGCTTCCCGGCGGTCTGCTCCACCCACCACAGGAAAGCCACACCCCGCCCCGCCTTCCAGGTCAGCCCTGGCCATAGTTACCCGATCGCCAGGAGCAGTGCCGTCGTCCAGATTGTTGAGGGCGTTTTCCACGCGGGCCAGGCGGCCGGACAGCGACAGCAGGAGGTTCACCACCTTGTCCAGGTCCCCGATGAACATGCGGAACTTGTCGAACTCGTTGGGCTTGCAGACGGCCTTGGCCAGGGCCTCCACCTCGTCGCCCAGCGCGCTGTTGGCCTGCATGTCCTCCCGCAGGCTCTGCCGCGCCTGCCGCAGCACCTGCAGCTTGCGACCGATGCTCTCGATGAGCTCCTGCTGTGGGCACAGGGCAGGGGACACGGTCAGGGCCGCCTTGCGGCACCCCCTCACCCATCCCGGATCTGCGGGCCACTCAGCTCAGCCGGGCGGCAGCTTGTTTGGCATCAGTAAATAACAGGGGGACTTCCCCGGGGGCGCAGTGGTTGGGAATCTGCCTACCAATGCAGGGGGCACGGGTTCGAGCCCTGGTCCGGGAAGATCCCACATGCCGTGGAGCAACTAAGCCCGTGCGCCACAACTACTGAGCCTGCGCTCTAGAGCCCGCGAGCCACAACTACTGAAGCCCAAGTGCTGCAACTACTGAGGCCCACGCGCCCAGAGCCCGTGCTCCACAACGAGAAGCCACCGCAATGAGAAGCCTGCGCGCCGCAACTCGAGAAAGCCCGCGTGCAGCAACGAAGACCCAACGCAGCCGAAAATAAATATAACTAACTGGGGATGTTTAAGACTAGGGGAAGGATAAGGCCTTCCTGTTCAATCATTGGCGTTTGAGTTAGAAACGGAACAGAACAAACCTATTCTCATCCTGTGACTGTCCTATCAGACTATGCAGGAGTGGGACCCCTGGGGCTACTCACGGTAAACCTCGTTTCAGCCTGTAACTTTGCAAGGATTCTCCGGGCCTCTGTGATACCCTGTGCTTCCTTCTTTGTTTTTTGCTTTTTTTTCTGGCCGCACTGTGCGGCTTGTGGGATCTTAGTTCCCCGACCAGGGATCACCCCCAGGCCCTCAGCAGTGAAAGCGCCGAGTCCTCACCCCTGGACCGCCAGGGAAGTCCCTGCGCTTCCTTCTTTGGCAGTTCCCAATTGGAAGACTTACATGCACACAAGTTATTGAGTCTGGTAGTGAACGTCTGGTACTGAACTCCGTGATTAAAACGTGTCTTCCATGTAGAATGAGCAATAAAAATTAAGACAAATGAAGGATGTCAATGAACTTAGGCAAGTCTTTCACAATAATAAAGTACTGATCTCCATTTGACCAAAATGTAAATAAATGACTTCTTTAAACGTCATGAAATATACATGCTGCAACGTTTACCGTCCCGCCTCTTTTCTCGTGTGCTGTTCCGTGGCATTGAGGCGTGCACGGTGCTGTGGGCTAGCACCGCCACCCATCTGCACATCCTCTCCATCCTCCGAAACGGAAACTCCGAGCATTCAATACGAGCTCCCCATTCCCCCCTCCTGCCAGCTCTCGAAATGACTAATTTTTACAGAGCAAAAATGACACGTACAAAGACCTTTTAATCGGTCACCATCCTGAAGTGAAGCGGCACCATGTGGTCCAAGTTGAGGGGCAGAGAAAGCAGATTATCTGTCTCATGGGTCATCACATTTGAGAAAAATTACAAGGACCGCTCAGAAGGGGTCCAGCAGGGAAGCCTTCCCCAGAAAAACCCTGTTCCCATGACTACGGACGTGCTTCTGCTGTTAAACCCACGCATGGCGGATGCCAACCGGCGGCCCGCCCTGACACGGTGAGCGGTGAAGGGCCAACGGCGAGAAGCAAAGTCACCCGTTGTCCTTTTCGGAACCCTGCTGCCACCCGCCCTGCACGAGTCCGCCAACCTCGTGTCGACGGACACAGCAGGTTACGTGGGGTTTAGGAGGCCAACGCATCCCTGTGCTAGCCCGAGGCTGGGGTGATGAAAACGGAGGCAGTGCTCTGCTGCCCGCACCCAAATGAGGATTAAACAATTAGTTGGAATGTTAAGTCCGATTAGGATTTTTAAACTCAGTCTGTTGCTCCACAGTGAGTAACACTATTTTATGTACAACAGACCCATGAAAATGGTCCGTGCTGTCCACCGCCCCCCCCCCCGCCCCGTCCTGGGGCAGTTTCCAAACTCTGGCCCCAGACGGAGTCCGCAGGGCTCGGCAGGGAGAAGGCTCAGTCTCGTGAAACCCTCCAGGATGGTGTCCAGAGCTGAGCAGGGAGCAGTTGCCGCGACCTCCAGGGTTAACATAAAGATGGGTGAAATCCCCGGAGGCTCAGCCCGCTGCTTGGCATGCAGTAGGCGCCTGTCCACAGCCGCTGCCGGCAAGACTGCAAGTGTGCATGAGAAGCTGCTCCGAGCTCACCGCTACCGTTCGGTAGACACTGCCCCATCCCAGGGACTATTTGGGCAGGAGGGAAAAAAAAAAAAAAACCACCTCGGGAGACCCGCTGAAGCGCTGGAGGCACCCTACACTTCGTATGCCTGATACGGGTGATCTGTGTCTCAGGACGATGCTTCCAAAGAGGGTCTCCATGCAGCATTTTTCCTATCAAGCGAGCCATCAAGTCCTCTCAAGCGCACCTGCACAGCCCTCCCTTCTCCTCGTCCCGTGCACACTTCGTAAGCGCGTGACACCATAGATATGAGGGCACTGGAAAGGCAGCAGAGGCAGCGCAGCCAGGAGAACAGGACTACTGGGTCAGCGACAGCACTGACCTAGCGCTTAAAGCATTTCCTGCTTGGGGTGAAAGTGCCCGACATACGCTTACTGAACCAAAAGCGTCAGCTGGCTTAGGAAGTTAATCCTGGTGGGGTGATGGGCAGGGGGCAAGCTCACAGTGACTCATGTCAATCCCAAAGCCGGCATCTCGTGCCCCCAAAGAAATCGGGAGAGGCCCCAGACAGATGAAAGGAGCGGTACCAAGGCTGCTGCTTCCCAAATTCAGTACATCATGAGAAACAAAGGCACGGTGTAAAGAACATAGTTCTTTGCATCTAGGGTGTGGACGAAATTAAAACTGTCCAAACTGGATGTTTTTTCTAGGTGTATGAGAATAACACCACTTTGTTTTTTTAAATTCATTATTTTTAAGAACGTGGAAAACACAACCAGAAGAAAGCAAATGGTACCCTGTGCCAGACACAGGGCCTCTAAAATCCCAGGACCAAAACTCTTAGTTTTCATTTCCTTTTTGAATTAAAAAAAGGCTATCACTTCCTAAATTGAAAGTCACTTTCTTTTACACAAGGGTTAGGGTATTTCTTCTGGAATGGGTTTGTCTATCATATTTGAAACCAATCAATGGCATTTTTTAAACAACTAACAATACGAGGAGGTATTAAACATTATCCTTTGCAAGGGTCTTGTCAAAGCAAATTGGTATTTTTTATGAAAGCCCCTTCCAAGATGCTAAGTGTACGGAAAAATGCACCAAATGCTGGTTCCCTCCTTTTTCTCCTGGTGCTGACTACGCATGCTCAAAGCCCCTGGAATTAAACCAACAGCACATGCTATCCTCTGAAACTGACTGCCTTGGGCAATTCCTTTCTCCCTTTATGCTAAATCCTTCCTAAAAAAAAAAACCAGGTAATCACACCTAGATGTCACAAGTCTGGCCTGTTGACATGCCGTGAAGATTTGAAGCTCGTACAGTAGTGAAGACATCGGCACTGATAGCAATAATTTTGTCCCTACCGTGACCTCATGGTTACACGCTATTTCACCTCTGACCTCCTCTCTAATCCTCCCCCTTCCTTGTCCACACAGCTCCAGCTATTGGTCACTGCTGCTTCCCCCACGTGTCACAAAACTCCCACCCCAGGGCCTTTGCACTTGCTGCCCCAACCCCACTCCCCCAGACCCTCCCCAGATCAACCAGACATTCGCTCACATCACTCCAGGTCTCTGTTCATCATCCGCTCATCAGAGCCTTCTCTACAATCATACTCCTTTACCTCTCTCTAGTCCTTCACGCTGTTTTAGTTTTCTGACCACCCGACCTACTCCATTAAGGGTTGGCAAACTTCTTCTATAAATGGCCAAACAGTAAATATTTTAAACGTCAGGGACCACACAGCCACCGTTGCAACTACTCAACACTGCTGGTGTAGCGTGAAAGCTACCAGAGACCATATGTAAATGGCCGTGTTGCAATAAAACTGTATTTACAAGAGCAGGTGGGGGGCAGGGGCCCACGGGGCCCTGTTTGTTTTTTTATATTTGTTTTTATGTTGGCTATCCATCTCCTCTGTGAGCACTCAAGTGCCTTCAGGGAAATAAAGACTGACTCCAGTCTGTTTTGTCTATGCTGTACCCCCAAGTGCCTGGGTGAGTTTTTGGAGTTGAACAGATGATGCTTTTTGGTTAACAACGCACTTCACAATGTACTGTTGAATTTAATTAACATCATCGGATCACAGATGATCACAGATATTTGAAACGGATAGTCAAAGAGGACATGTGCCTTGCGGAAGGTCATACAATTAAGCCCTCTGGATTTAACTGGGGTAGAAGAGACATATCAGTTGACCTTAAAATGAGAGAGACTGGTGGCCACCTAGCTAATTTGACACTGGATCTCATTACAAAGAGATGGCAAAGAGACCCTGGCAGAGAGGCCCAATTTTAGAACACAAGACTCACCCACAAAGGGCTTAATACACAGGCCCAAATGTCAGCGTCCCACATAGAAGCCCAACACCAACGGCACTCAGCGCAGGGCCCAGGGTCGGGGTGGAGCCGGGTGCCGCCCCCGGCCGGCCTGCCTACCAGCCAGCCGGCGCGTTCTCGTTTGGAATTGCAGCTCCCCTACCTTCTTCACCGACAGGTCGTGGTCGGCGTCACTCCCTGAATCCTCTTCGGCTTCTTGCTGGTCCTGCAGGTCTTTCATCTTAATCAGCAGCTCCGCCTTGGGGGCCGATGTGCTGTAGTAGGTGGAGTTGGTGGCCAGGGACACGGCTGCCGGCACACTCAGCTCCTCCTTCCTGGGTAACAAAACATCAGAACACCCGTTAGCTCTGAGCGTACACACAGACGTGCCCGCAAGTCCCACAGCCTGGGCTGTGACCGGCAAATGGTGGTGCTAACGGAAAGGCACCAGCTAGAGAGATGAGACAGCAAGAGTGGGGAAGGAGTAGGTTGTGAGGTCAGAACTAAAACACCCCGCCAGGTGGTGCTCGAAGGCTCGCCCCGGAGGGAGGAGAGTGCAGATGGTATCCGCCGGGAGCCCGAGGTCCATGGGGAGAGGTCTGCCGCTATCCGTAGGCGTGGCCGCACGCCCAAGGTCACCGGGCACCTTTCTACCAGCAGCCGCATTTGCTGCCTCTTGCTACGGCCTGACTTCCTGTCTGCCTGGTACTCCCGCCTACCGTCAGTCAACGATGCTTATGGAGACCACGTACAGAAACAGGAGAGATGTGAGCAGATACACCTTTGTGGGCAGGTGACTGAAGGACGGGCTGGAAAGCACTCTTTACGAAACCTATTGCAGCAAGTTCACTCCCTCAGTTAAATAAGCAACAACAGAAAGCCTCTTTCATAAACACATATACTAAGAAGTAGTCTCAACTTTCACCCCTCTTGTGACAAGTTTCTCAACTTCCGTACTAGTGACACTTGGGGCTGGACCATTCTTTGATGGGGGGCCGTCCCGTGCAGTGCAGAGCCGCAAGCAGCATCCCTGGTCTCCACCCACTAGATGCCAGGGCACCTCTCCCAGTGGTGGCAACCGAAAGTGTATCGCGACATTGCCAACTGTCCCGTGGCGGGAGACAACAGCCTCCGGCTGAGAACCACCGCCTCATGAGAAGAAGCCCCGTGGGCATCTCCGGAAACGTATATTTTCACATCTTTGCCAGGACCTGACGTCATCATCCCCAGAATGGGCTTTTAATTTCGGGAGGGTGACAGAAGAGCCCCAGAGTGCTCATAAGCACTTATGGAAATCTATCCCCAAAGAGCAGTCACGAAAACAGACCAACAGATACACTCCCTCGCCCTTGTAAGCCTAAGAGGCACCGGGCAAAACCACATCCAGCCAGGGGGCAGAACCAGGGCGGCGTCTACTCACTTCTCCTCTGTGGTTCTGGGAGAGGGGATTTTGGGGAGCAGCTTCCTCCGCTGCTGAGCTTCCTCCAAGAGGTGCTCGTCTTTGGGGAAGATGCCCTCCATAAGGTCCATGGTGGTTTTGATCTTCATGCTGGGGTCCAGGATATCCGCCAGGGACTTATCCTTGCCCGCGATCTCGCGGGCCAGCTCCTCCGACTTGAGGTCTTCGGCAGTCCTCTCTTTGGCCTTCACGTAGCTGAGTGTGGGCGTGGAGGCCCGGCTGTCCTTGGCCGTGGGCACCAGGGTGCCAGGGGGCTGGGGCTCGGCGCCCTGGCGGCTGTACAGGCAGAAGCGGGAGTAGGACTGCTCGGACGTGCTAAGCGTCTTGATCTGGTCCCGCTCGAGCCCGCTGGGCAGCACGGGTGGCTCCGGGACGCGGGCCAGGCCCTGGCGGCTCTCCTTCTCGGGCTGGCTTTCCGAGTGCACGATCTTGATGGGCACCATCTTCACCGTGGTGTTGTTGTCCATCACCCGCTCGATTCTGCAAAGAGAAGGGCCGTCTGTTAAAGACACGCTGTACGCCCAGGCACAGACCAGAATTAGAAATTGGATGAGAAATCGGCTGGTTTCCGCATCCCCTTACAGCCTGGGAAGCCTGACTCAAAGGCCTGCAGCGGCCCCAGGGGAGAAGCCTTCATGGTCACATGTCCCAGGATGGGGAGACCAGGTTGAGGAGTGCCTGCCACCCCTACCTTGATCTCCTAAGCCTCCTGGGCATGTAGGTGTCTTTCCGTTTTCCAACGGTCACCTGCACGCCTGAAGGCACATCCGTGGGCCTACTGACAGATAGAAGGGCAGTGTGATGCTCATTTGTTTTTAGGTCAATGGCAGAGCCAACGGTAAGAAGCCTGCTCAGTGAGATTTTCTTTTGCAAGGGAGCCCTGCAACAGACAGGCGTGTTTCACAGAATTAGCGCCGGTGCGTCAGCCAGCGTCTCTCACAGCTGGGTGCCTGCGTGGTCCTCGCGGTGGCCGGAGGACGCCTTTAGAATAAGCAGCCGTGTTCTGAGCAGACGCTGAGCGCCGCCCGGTCCTGGTCCCGGTTGGAAGCGTCCTTGGACCCTCGTGCGCCCCGGGTCTCACCCCACCTGCCTGCCACTGCCCCACACTTCGAGCTGCCCTCCACACGGCATTTCATACCAGACAGATAAGAATCCAGCAGCGAACATGGGACACGCTGCTCCTGCGCTATCTTGGAAATGACTCATGCAGGCGTCCTTTTAAAAAAAAATAAAATAAAAAAAGTTTGTCGGTGAAAGCGGGGGAGGCACCTCGAGCAGCCACATGGAAGAGAAAACGGAAAGGAACGGCCTGGTCGAGGCAATGGGGCTGCGTCAGGGGCCACCCGAAAGCCGGCTGGTGCCGGGGGATCCCCCGGACCAGGGCCGCTGGGACACAAATCCATTTCAAATACCCTTGAAGGACAAATTGGAGAAAGAGAGCCATCTGCTGGTAGCCAGGAGGGAAGGCAAAAGACAGGCCAAAATCATACAACCAACACCCCGACTTGTTCCTAACTCAGCGTAAAACCATTTCTATGATCCGAATGGACGTAATCTTATGGTGCACAAGGGGCATAACACAACACATTACGGTTCTTTCCTTGTTCCTAAGGGTGGGGCACGCAGGCTACAATGAAATAACTTTATTTTCTTCTCTCCTCCAGCAGAAACCACTGAGAGCAGAGGTGTTTGTTTATTAATCTAGGTGGTCATATATAGTCCCTGTCGTGCCTTCTTAGTGAATAAATTTCAAAAGGCTGTCACTCCGTGCATAATACTGCTGAGACATGCTGAACTTCCGAAGGAAAATTCTGGCATCTTATCAAAGCAAGGACACACAAACAAGAACCCCTCTTCATTCCATTCCTTGCATTCCATGCGTAGAGACCCTCAACTCCTGTTAGGGACTTCAAAGTCAGCCTGTATTTGCATCTCCCCCGGCCCGATTCGTGGGGAAACTTAATTTCCAGCGAAGGAAGACACGAGGTAAAAACAAAAACAAATCCTCCGCAGGTTGTCCTATACTTTCCAACAAAGCATCTCTTCCTGGTCATTTCTAAGCACAAATGATCTCTCCTCTTGAAACCTAGGCAGACTTTCACATTTAAGAAGTCTGATGAACTTCTACCTCAAAGTGAAGACAAAACACAGTGGACAAGACCTTACCGCAGCCAGACCTCACCCGTTCCTCATGGTAACCTCACCCGTTCCTCATGGTAAGCCGGACCAGGAGGGATGGAGGATGCGGGCTGTGCCGGGCCTGGCCCCCTCTCCGTGCAGCGGCTCCTCCCAGAGCGCGGGCTCCGTCCAGGTGAGCTGCCGGCCGCCCACAGGGGCCCAGCCCCCCACAGCAAGCAGTCCAACCCGCTGTGCTCACACACCCAGTCCCGAGGGAGCCCTCAGCCCACATGCCATCCTGGGTCTGATAAACCACAACCCCCACAAGGAGATTCTCCAACCACAAGATGCCCGAGGTGACCGCAAGACTGTCCGAACGACCCCGAAGCAGCCCCCCAGCTCCATGCTCACACACGCTCCCAAACCCAGAAACCGGCCCCAGGAAATCTCCTGGGAACACTGCTGGGCGCAATGAAATCTCTCATTTTCACTCGCCCGTGGTGCTGGGCATTGTCTCCATGTTGTAAACCAGCAAAACCCTCAAAATTTTAGAAGTTTTTTCATAGTAAGCTTCCTGGCTTTGCAACAGGAGTTGAGGCATTTTTATTCGGAGTGAATGACTCTGAAATTCCCCACAGGGTGGGAAGGCTGCACTTTCTGCCTCGCGGCATCCCTTCCGCGGCCTGGCACGAGGGAGGGCTCTGGACCTGCCTGAATTCGGGAAGGCGTGTCTCAGGGACACAGGAGCTGCTCTGCACCCTGGCTGGTTCCCCAGCAGAGGTAACTGGAGGGAGGGACAGATGAACGCGGAGGGAGATGAGGGGGGCGGGTAGTGCTCAAGAAATCAGTCAGCACACGTGCAGACAAGAAGAGAGTCTCTGAGCTGTGCCCAAACACCAGGCAGCTTGCGAGGCCCCGGCCACTGTGTTGCGCTCGCTGCCCGTTGGTGGCTGATGGTGGGTATGGAGCCGGCCAGCGCTCGTGTGGAGCGCCGGCCTCAGGTTCGCAGTGTATGCCAAGGGCATGCCACTCTCTCAGGCCCACGCTAACCGGTAACACCCGCTCTGGGGACGGGGACACCGAACTCAGTACAGTATGAGCCACTTCCCACCTCCTGAAGTCTACAGACGTGGTGAGCACTGAGCAAACACGTGGCCCTGTTTCTCCGCAAAGCCGTGGAGCCCGCTGTGCCCAAACCAGCTCCCGAGACCCGAGGGGCCCGGTCACCTTCCCTACAGCGGTACCAACACACTCCACCAACCACACAAACTACTTCATCGCTTCTCCTCCCTTTCAGGGCTGAACAACATTGCCAACAGAAAGGATCTCTAAGTGACACCTGCATTCTGAACGATGCAGAACAGTGCCGGCCCGCAGGTGCAGCCGCATTTGGCCATGCCACGCACGGAGACCCAGGACGCTATCAGTACTGTTTCCTCTCTGTCAAGTTATCTTAAGGGTTAAAAAAAAAAAAACAAAGTTCAAGACTCTACAGCGGGGAGATCTAGCAGAACTTTCCATGATGATGAAGTCAGCCATCATCTGGGCTGTCCAGGGTGGTAGCCACTAGCCCCAGAGAGCGCAACTGAGCAACGGGTTTCATTTCATTCTCATTAACTTATATCGCTATGGCCACGTGCGACTGGTAGCTACTATATCAGACGGTACTGACATGCAGGGCCAGCGAATTCTTTGCTGGGGGGCCGTCCTGGGCACTGTAGGATACTAAGCGGCACCCCTGGCCTCCGCCCAACAGATGCCAGGAGCCGAGGAACAAGCCCCACGCCCAACACCTGTGACGCCCAAAACGTCTGCAGACACGGCCCAGTGTCCTCCTGGGGGCCGCAATGCCACCCCCCCGGCTGAGAACCAGTGCTCTAGAGAATGAGAAGAAAATTCCCCCCCTTCTATTTCTCATTTCTTGACTGGTCCCTGCCTGACAGCATTCACCAGTGGCTCAGTGGGCACAACTGACAATCCCATGCCGGTGACCCTGAGGACAGCACCATGGGACAGGATCGAGTTTTCCTCTGCTTTAATAAAAGGTAGACACCACCTCAGCCTTTTCATATAAAAAGAACTAGAAAAAAAGGCATGTGGAAATACTGGACATCACGAAAAACACCGATTTTGCTTGAAAGTCTCATGCTTAGGTTAAACTTGATTACAAACAGAACTCAGCTGGTAAAACCAGCCCCGCTGTGCAGAAGCCTGTAGGTAACGCAGCTACCAACCTGTCGGGCTTGGGAACAGGACCAGGGGACAGTCTACTCCCTCCTTTACCTCCCTCACCCCCTGTGGGGCAGGAAAGCCCCCAGCAAGTTAACAATCCAGCTGACCATTCGAGTGGTGGGTTCTCCCCCATGTCAGCCCCCAGGACCCACTTAAACTCCAGGACGGGGAGCCGGGAGCCAAGGCGGCAGTGGTTCACCACCCAGGAAAGGAGCGCTGAAAGCCTCCCACGGTGGAAGGGGGCCGGCAGAGGGGAAGAAGGCCTCAGGCCGCCGTCCAGAGACAGTACCTGGTGGAATTATCATCCTGGACGAGCAGCGGGGGTTTGTCCGTCAGCTTCTGCGGCGCGAACTGAGGCGACGGGGAGCGCGAGGTCTCCATGGCGGAGGTCTGCAAGGGCCGGAACTTGGAAAGGAGGGGCGCCTCCCGCCGGGGCCAGCCTGCGCGCTCGTCTACATGCTGCCCGGCCGGCTCCCCCGCAGCCCGCGGGCCATCTGCCGCGGGCCGGGCGGCGCTCGGTTTCTCCGCCGAGGCGCCGGGGCTGCAGCGGGCGAGGGCCGGGCGGTCCGAGCACGAGCACACCTCCGGGGCCAGGGGGCGGGGCCTGCCGGGCGCGCCCAGGTGAGCAGGCGCAGGTGCGCCCGCCAAGGGCCTGGGCTCACGCCTGGGTGGCGGCGGCCTCTGTGGGGCGGGCCTCCGGGAGAGCGGGGCGGCGCTCAGGGGCCGGGGTTCCTGCCCCCGGGCGTGCGGGGCGGCAGGCCGGTCCGCGGGCGCGCGTTCCTCCGGGTATCTGTAATCGCAAGGAAGGGTCCCCGCCCGGCCACGGCCCTCCGGGGGCACCTCGGGAGCTTCCCGGGAGCCAGCTGGTTCAGAGACCTGGGACGGCTGCTGGGGGTCCCGCTGCGCTCCTGGACTGTCTTCTGCACACGGGGCATCTGCTTGTCTAGGGGAGAAGGGAAGAAAAATGAGCCAACGGTTCCAGTTAACATCTTCTCCCCAAACAGGACTACACCCACGTCTCCATAACCTCCTTCAGTCATGTTAAGAAATTCAATCCACATACGTTTGCCTGCGCCTGTCCCCGCTGCGATTCCTAACACAAGGCATCAACGCCAAACCCACACTGGACATTCGCCAGTACGCTGGCGTGTCATACCACAGGACAGGAGGTACGCACGTTACAGACACACACACGTGTACACACAGACTGCAATTTGGGGGCAAAATATAATTCACACAAACATTTAAAAAAACAATGTGTGTAGAAATCCTCAAACTGTGATATTCAGAAATGTTTACTTCATGTTGCAACAATATTTTCACGTGGTTTATTTCGGGAAATTGCCATATACAAAGGGACGGAACTTTCTAAGACGGGCAGCAAGTAAACTGATAAACTTTAAAATCAGTAGTCTGTCGTTAAATAGAAGAAAAACAGAGGCTTCGTTTTGGAAGCTGCAGTGCGACACTGATCTTTCCATACTCATCCATTTCCACATCCGTATCCATTTCTCTCTTTCCCTGAAACGTACTTACATGCGCGCGCGCGCACACACACACACACCTGCAAAACACATGCAGGCATGCTCCACATGCACGTATAGCTGTGCCGAAGCTACAGCTCGTGGGCGTTATAATAACCATCAAACTCGCAACAAGTCAGCCGGCCACGCCTTTGCTGCTTTCGCTGACACACTTTCTTCCGACCTGACTGAATAATAAAATGAGCCTCTGACTGACCTTTCCGTTCACAGGAAGAGCTGTTCTCTGTTAAGACACCCTCAGAGCTGTTAAAGGAGACCCTAAAAAGGGCAGCAATCAGAGACCCAGTAGGTAGAGCACAAGTGCCAGTAAGAGATGTAACCTACTGCGAAACAAGTGGGATAGAAGACCTCGTCCCCACACACCCTGGCAACCCCTTGGGGCCCTGGACGTGTGTCCTCCTCCCGGGACACGATACCAGGCCTGGGCATTACAGATGTCCCAACCCCATCCAGGCAGCTGTACTCAGAGTCAACTGCTCGTTGCATGTCTCTCTTGCTATGTCCTCAGGAGAAAGGTCCCTTCCAGGTTCAATGGCTGGTCGAGAGTAGACCATGGACCACCCCCAACTCCCCTTCCTTCCCCCATCAGCCAGCTGGGGCCACACTCCCCACTGGCACTACCTCCAGCCCAGAGACAGCAGCTGCAAGGGCTCAGCATCTGCAGGAGGACAGAAGAGAGCCAGACCCTAAAAGGGGGCAGAGGTTTGTTCTCTGCTTCCAAATTAAGACAATATTAACCCAGCTCGGGGAAGTTAGGTGTTGTTTATTTTTATTTTTTTAATCTGTACTGGGCACACATTGATGAAAGAAATGCTAACTTACTGAGGTCTGGGGAAGTCATTCCGGCTTACACATAAGTTAACTTGAATTTTATGCTAACTTAAACAGCCTGTTTGTGGCCTAGCAAACATACACTGTACATCTGCATTAATTATTAAAGAAAAGGGCGCACTGACCACAAGTAAAGAACGTCCATGTTAAAAATAAAGATTAAATGCTTCTGTTCCCGGAAAGCCCATGCGGGCGCTCCTTCAATGCTAAGACTCCCTTTCCCAGGTGCCAAGGCCACACTGACTCGCTGTGTACGTGCTGGTCTGTTTTGAAACTGTGAAGCGATGTATTCCCGACTTGTTTAACGTTCTTTGTTTTTGACAAGACGTAAAGCTGTGCCGAACGCCATGCTTCTTGGGAGCAGTTCCTCAGACTACTCTGGGAAGCAGGCTTCTCTGGGCTGTAGTCCTCAGTTTGGCTCAGATAAAACTCTTTTCTATTCCTGTTACAGATTGTTTTTCGATTATTTGCGTTGACAACATTAAACTAGAAGTTATCAAAATAACCCAAACAATGTAATGGATGGTTTAGAGAACAATACACAGCAGCTGTCTGGTTACAAAAGACAGAATGGCATTCAGACGTCATCAAATGGACAACAGTGGGAGAAGTGTGACTCACAGCTCAGATGCCCTGTCACACACTACTTCATCTGGCCTGCCGCGGAAAAGCAAACCTCGTGCCTCCCTTCCATTGAAACTATAGTGCCTCTTAAGACAGTAAAACCTAATTTATGACAATTCATGAACGCCTCCCCCATCTTGCACTTCAAAGAGTTGAGGAACACTTGAACTTTTTTGATTATAAAACTCTTGAACTCTAGCATCCCCAGACCCACACGAAAGCACCTGGTACCTACTAAATGAATAGCCACCACCTCATTAAAACGGAGAATTAGATCAGCTACAATTTACTGCTAAAATCTAAGCGTCTTGGGCCATCTGGGTTCATATTTAATATGTTAATTTAAAAGGAGCTCTAGGGACTTCCCTGGTGGTGCAGTGGTTAAGAATCTGGCTGCCAATGCAGGGGACACGGGCTCAAGCCCTGGTCCGGTTAGATCCCATATGCCGCGGAGCAGCTAAGCCCCTGTGCCACAACTACTGAAGTCCGCATGCCTAGAGCCCGTGCTCCACAACAAGAGAAGCCACGGCAATGAGAAGCCCGCACACTGCAACCAAGAGTAGGCCCCCCCCCCCGCCTCGCCACAACTAGAGACAGGCCGCGCACAGCAACGAAGACACGATGCAGCCAAAAGTAAATTTAATAAATAAAAATAAAAGGAGCTCTACTTGCAAAGTGCCTTAGACAGGACACGCTAAGATCTACCCAGAGAAGGCAGAGGTCACACCTGCAGGAGCAAAGCCCCACTGAGAGTGGGACAGTGACTCAGAGCAAAAGACCCTCTGTCATCAGCAGGTGCCCCGGGCTCCTTCCTGCCTTACTAGCGCGGCAGCCTTCGCAGGACCCGAGGGCATTCTCTAAGTGAGGGCTGCCTGGCCACTTCTCATTGGAGGAGCACAGCTGGTCCCCTGTGGCCCACCCCACATCTAACTTCACATGGCAATTTCTGGGCCAAGTTTGTCCTCCACCCCTGATTTTTTCTTGGCTTCCTCCCGAACTTGCAAAGTGAAAGCCATAAAAGCACGAATTGGTTCTTACTGTCCCAGCTGGTAAGAATTCAGGAAATCCAGCTCACAAAGAAAGGAGGACTAAAGGCGGGAATTTGGGGTTCTACTGGGGTCATATTCCAACCTGTGTTTCTAATAGGTTCCAAGTGACTAGTTTGTACATAACATGGATAATGTGTGTGTTTACATATCACATGTGTCGCACGTGTGTCTGTGTGGTATCTGTGTGTATGCATGTATATCCCCTTCTATTGTATCTTCACGGATAGTCAATGGTGATAGCAAGATCCAGACGTAAAGACCAAGAATATACAATGAGTTAAGGACTCTGCACGGGCGAGTAAGCAACTAAGTATCTCCCTGCATGCACTCCAGGGTGGACCCAGGAGCGGGGAGTCAGCAGCGCAAAGGAGAACTGCAAAGGCAGCCGCGATATACGGCTTCGGGTGCTCATTCCCCTGTGGAACACACTCAGGACCTGTTACCAAGGAGACAGCAGCTCCCAGGGCAGGGAGGACAGGCAGCAGGTTCTCAGCGGCTGAGGATTCCACAGACCCGCAGCCCCCTCTGGGGGCTGGAGCCCAGCAGGCCGACTGGATGCTGTGAAGGACACGGGGAGGAGAAAGGTCCGCGACAGGACTGCAGAGGGCAACACAGCTAATCTGAAGGGGGAAGAGCGCAGGAAAGGCCACCTTCAACACTTTTCGGTAGTGCAAACACCCTGCGAGAGGACACAAACCACTGTTAACAGCCCCAAAAAATGTAATTAAAAAAAACAATTATAAGTTATGTATCAAATGCTCTTGAAATCCCGTCAACACTGCTCTGATTCAAATCTCCACTTTTTTTTTTTTTTTTTAGTACGTGGGTCTCTCACTGTTGCGGCCTCTCCCGTTGTGGAGCACAGGCTCCGGACGCGCAGGCTCAGCGGCCATGGCTCACGGGCCCAGCCGCTCCGTGGCATGTGGGATCCTCCTGGATTGGGGCACGAACCCGTGTCCCCTGCATCGGCAGGCGGACTCCCAACCACTGCGCCACCAGGGAAGCCCTCAAGTCTCCACTTCTGATCATGGTGTGGAGACGGCCAGCCCTGTGTCTAAGCACAGGCTGCATCCCTGAGAGGCGGCAGCTCTATCTCCAGATGCCATCTGTTCCTGACGAGCCCGTGACGTCACTGGGCTCCTTGTGTCCTCGGGTGCCAGCGTTCTGCTCCCTGCCGCCCCATCTTCTGCACAGCTGCCCTGCCGTCACACAGGCCCGCGGCTCCGCAAGCCCTGCGGTCTCCCGGCCTCCGGGTAGCCCCTAGCACAGGGCTGGTCACTCTCTCTGATGACTGTACTGTTCACTGGTCTCCACTCTCACCCTGGGGCTGTGAGCACCTCGACGGAGACAGGGAGCCAGGTTTTCTTCTCCAGGGCCTCGCGGGCCATCGTTAGCTACGTGCACTGAGTCACACCACGGCCTGGACGTCTGTTACATGCACAAATGCATTCGTGGCTTTCGGTCCCCGGGCAGAAAGGTAAGGAGGGAAAACGCATTTTTTCGGAGATGCAGGCAGCAGGGTTCACATGAGCTTGCATGTGAACATTCCCAACATAAGCAAGTGTTTCTGGATCTCCCTGGGATCACTAAGTTAGCACACCTCTGTAAACAGGGTGAGCAATTATCCTCACCAAAGAAAAGAGAAAAATTCCAACTCTTTGGACAACTTAACTCACACAGGCTCCCTCCCTCCCTTCCTAAGTACTTCTGGAATCAATGATCAGAAGAGGACGCACGGCCAAGTGTGACTTGTGCCCACAGCTACGGCTGGAGGCTGTTACTCCTAACGTGCTCTGGGGCCTGAGGCGGCTAGAGAGAACTAGGCCACGCCCGACTGGGGCTCCCTCGGGCACCCACTTGCAGGCGCAGAATCACTTACTAGCTATGTGCCGTCG